AAATGGACTAACTCCCAATTTAGCTCTAGGGGCTATGCGCACTCTAAGCAAGGCAAGAGGCAGAGCTTCGGGCCATTTTAACTGAGTCTCTTGGCAAAGTTTAGCCAGCTGACTTTTTAGAGTCTGATTTATTCGTTTTACCTGTCCACTTGACTGTGGTCTCTATGCTGTGTGAAGGTCCCATTGTATTTCCAGAGCCCGGGAAACTGCCTGGGTCACTTTTGACACAAAGTGTGGCCCTCGATCCAAGGCTAATCCCTCTGGGATTTTGAATCGTGGAATCATTTTTTTTAGCATCACCCGGACCACTTCTTTTGCTTGGTTGGTTCGGCATGGGAAGGCCTCAGTCCATCCAGTCAGAGTGTCCACGAGCACTAACAGGTATTTCTAGTGTCCCTTCCTGGGAACTTCAGAGAAATCTATCTGCCACCATTCTCCTGCTAATAGTCCTTGCCTTCCTGCTGCTGGCGGAGGTTTGGGGGAAATCCTGTTGGAACAACAGACAGGGCATCTATGCATTATTTGTTTTGCTGTTTTTTTCATTTTAGGCCCCACTATAACTCTTTGGAGACCTTGGGTCATGGCGTCAGCTCCCATATGGGTGCTCTGGTGGTATTCTTGGAGCACTTTGCTAAGAATCAGTTTTGGCATCAGGACTTGTCCCTCAGGCAAAACCCACTATCCATCTTGTTGTTCTTTGATTCCCAATTTCTCTGCGAGTTGCTTCTCTTTTTTAGTATATTTGGGAGGTCCCTCAGGTAACACTACCTGAGGCATCAATGCCAACATGTGAGTCTCCTGAACTTGTCCTCTAGCTGCTTTCTTTGCCGCAGCATCTGCTCGTCGATTTCCTTTAATAACATTAGCATCTCCCTTTTGATGGGCCTTATAGTGTACCACAGCTATCTCTAGTGGTTCCATCACAGCTTCAAGTAATTTCAGGATCTCTGTTCCATGCTTTACTGGGCTTTTACTTGCCGTTAAGAGTCCTCTTTCTTTCCATATAGCTCCATGGGCATGTAAGACTCCAAAGGCGTACTTTGAATCCGTGTATATAATGGCTCTCTTTCCTTTTGCCAAATGGAGAGCTCGGGTCAGTGCAATAAGCTCAGTTCTCTGTGCAGAGGTATTTGGAGGCAAGGCATTTGCTTTCACGGTATCCCATGATGTAACCACGGCATATCCCGCCTTTCGGGTTCCATTGTCCATGAAGCTGCTTCCATCTGTGTAGA